ACAGAGTTTGTGCCCGATGGAAAACTCCAGGTGAGGTGGAAGAACAGAAAAAACAAAATAAATCTCTTGGCTGTCTGCATCTCAGGAGAATTATGTCAAAGCTTCATGAGCCAGCAGAGTTCCTATTTGACCAGGGCACCAAGATCCAGACCCTACTGCTTGCCTAACCTAGCTGTTAATTAAGAAATTCATCTCCAGACAAATCCTGAAGAATTTGGAAAGTCTGGGGAGCCTCAGAGGATAGCCATAACCATTAGGAAAGTAGCAGTGTTTAATTAAATTCCCTTGCATGTTTAGTAGCTGTAGGGAACCAAGCCAAGATAATCCCCTTCCTCAAAAAAAAAAAAAAAAAAAAAAAAAAAAAAAAAAAAAAAAGGCAGCTTTGTTGAGTTTCCTCTCTTCCAACAGCCAGCTTAATTTTCACGCTCCCTGCAGCAGATTGTTTTACGAAGGGAGACTTCCCAAGTATTTACCCAGCTTTCTCATCACTGTATTTTCTTCCTCCTCCAGCACTCCAGACTCTGCCTTTTCTCATTTCTATGGGGGAGATTTTCCACTTTATTTTCTGGCAGCAGTGCTGATTTTTGAAAATAGTTATTATCTCCATAACCTCAGACAGCCAATTTCCTAGGAAATTTCTCCCCATCCTTTTGAGAAAGCACTTATGCAATTACAGACAGCAGAGTCAGTACTTCAGCATGCTTCTGCCATTGTATGTCCTCCACATCCTCTCTCTCACTTACCACTGGCCCCCTTTAATTGTGGCCTCAGATAAATGATGTGCGATGCCTGAAAACGTAGCTTTTCCAAGCCCAATTATCCAGCTGTCTTTTGGAGGATGTTGAATTCTGGGGAATCTCCCTTGGAGAGCTCTGTACTTCCTATTGTGCTAGTAGTGTAAGTAGAGGTCATCAGGTAGACACATTGTTTCTGGCCCCATTGCTGTGTTGCAGCATAGGAAGAACTGCAAGAACTTAGCAGTCCCTTTTCCATCTGTATTCATCTGGGAAAAACATTTCCTCATCCTTTCAGACAGTTTCTCCATGACCAGCTTTTCCATTTTTTGTTCATAAGAATTGCTATTGTCCATGTATGGGGCTTATCATGGAATCATAGAATCTCATGGGTTGAAAGGGACTTCAAAACCCACCCAATCCCACTCCAGCCAGGGCACCTAGAGCTGCCCCCCACCAGCTCAGGCCGTCCAGGTCCCATCCAACCTGGCCTGGAGCGCCTCCAGAGGTGGGGCAGCACAGCTCTGGGCAGCAGTGCCAGGGTCTCACTGCCTTCTGAGCAAAGAATTTCCTCCTAACATCTAACCTAAATCTCCCCTCTTTAACTTAAAGCCATTCTTCTTGTCTTATCAGTATCAGACAAAAAGTTGGTTGTCCTGCTTGTAAGTTCCCTTCAGATACTGGAAGACTGCAGTGAGGTATCCCTGGAACCTTCTCTTCTCCAGGATGAACCAGTTCAATTCCTTCAGCCTGCCTTCATGAAAGAGGTGCTTCAGCCCACTGAGCATCTTTGTGGCCCTCTTCTGGACCCACTCCAGCAGTTTGCATTCTTCGTGTTTCAGAGGCTTCTTTCAAATAGAAGCTCACTTTATTTTTGTTTTGAAGATCTGATTGTGTGCAGGAAGGGGAAGACCTTCCCTTAATTGAAAAAATTCTCAGTGGCAACTTCTTCATGACTGATGTAAAGCATCAAGCCAGAAAACTGAGGGTCTGGTCTAACACACAGAAAAGCAAAAATCTTGCACAGAGGGAATGCAGCACTGCTATCATTCGCATAACACAGTTTGATGTGATGGAAGCTGGCATTTTGTGAACAAAACACTGTTATTTTTTGTCATATGTGTCAGTCCAGTTCACCTCCTCATGCCAGCTGATAGAGACTGCTGGGGCACTTCAGTGATGAGCCCACTGTCCCACAGAAACTAAGCCCAGCAGTTCCCATGGGGAGCTAATCCCACTGGGATTCGTGGGATGTTTAAGCTTACGGTCTGCAAGCAACAAGTAAGTGTTTGAGGTCTGTTGGATTTGATATATAGCTTATAAATCTTGCTGACCTAAATACTAAATACTTATCTGTAACCTTTATAGAAGAAAGGTAAGAGCAGGGAAGCCACATTCACTCATAATTTTGAGAAAGTGGGTTGAAAGCAACTGTTTTTGCATGGATGGAGGTCCTTTGCTAGGTGGCAGAGGACCCTCTCCAGCCTTAGAAGAGAAGGCAGGAAGAGCCAGTCTGGCCCCATATGTAAGTCTTTTTGTACTATGGGTCTGTAGTCAAAAACAAAGACGGATTCAGCCAAAATAGCAGGATATAGGATTTCTGAGAACGGAAAATTGCCCATCACGAAGGGAGCTAAGCTGCTGCCAGTGCCTCTGAAGTGCTTGTATCTGAATGGTCTGAGGAAGATTTTGTGTTCGTTGCTTTACCTCTGAGTCAGACTGTTGGAAATCAGCCTCCTACCTGACAGGTTATGGCTTTCATGGTCTTCCAAGCAGGCTCAGAGATGGTCTGCCTCTTTTTCAGGCCACGGCCTTTATTGAATTTGAATGCATTTTGGAGTGGTCCAAATTGATTGTCATTACTTCTGATTAAATAAGCACAGTCTTGCTTTAAAAGGATTTTAGCTTTAACTAAACAAAACAACAACAAAACCAAACATAGTGGTGTGCTGTTTAATCTATCAGCGTATGCTGGAAGTCCCTCAATATGATTTCCCCAGCTATGTGTTTAAAATTGCAAGGAGATTCCTACTTAGCACCATCCATATAGCATTGCCTTTTAACATGGCTGCAACAGTGAAATGAGGATGTCCAACTGCGCAGAGTAGGTACTGCAAGGGACCAGAGGCCAAACTAGGTAGGTAAAATGCAGCACAAGCTGTACAGATGATATAAAGGGGAGAATAACACTCAAAGAGAGACTGTACATAAAAGTTGCTGATGCATACTTAATGCCTTGTTTGGGCAGAGCGTGGGACTGGCAGGCTTTGCTCTGCTCTCCTCAGGTATCTTCCGGCAAGTGCTGAAGCAGAAATGCATGAGGCCAGAAACAGAAGGACACGTACAGAGTAAAAACCACTGGGTGTCCAAAAAATAGCTCACTTAATATGGTCTGCTGATTGAACACAAATTCTGATTCTGCTAAAAGTAAAATTTCTGAAGATGTGACCTGAGTACAGCAATATTTTTTTCTTTTGCCAGGCACAGCACAGTAGATGAAAATATAGCTGATAGGTTCCTTTTCTGTCATTAACACATCTTGCTCTTCCTTTCCTTTGTGGATGATGTATCCATATTTCATCCTAACAACTCTCTTGAACATTGATCTGCTGCTCTTAACTTCAGTCCTTAATGCAATCAGGTTTGCATCATGAACCTGTATGACTGAGCGTAGCAGACATGGAGTAGCTTTTTGCTGTCCTAGCTTTTGAAGGTGTAATATTAACCTATGTGAAAGGAGAAAGTCATCAGGAAGTAGTAAAAGGTGTCTGTACACAGAAATGTCCAAACAAGAAGAATTCTGCAATGGCCATCATTGAATATGTATGCCCTTATACAGGTTGTTACTTGCAACAGTTCACCTATCCCCTTAGTGAAGGCTGTACTCACATGGCCCCTCAGTTAATTGGTTCACTCTGACTTCTCATTAACCATCAACACCTAGTGACTTCTGGGAAAGGGCCGTGTGTCCCACTCTTCTCATCAGGACAAATCTTTTCTGGCTCCACTTTCTTTCTTGGGTCATTGCTGTTGGAACACAAGCATGAGCTAGTTCCTGCCACGTAAGAGAATACAGTATATGACAAAACGTACAACAGCCTCTTAGAAACCAAGCTGCTGTGTCACCTGAAATTACAGGGAGAGAAAAACCTGTCAAAAAAAAATGTCACAGTGTCAAAATGGAAACTGTAAGTTTACTGATTATGTTGAAATGTCACTTTGAAGATATAGAGGAAGAAATGGATTTTTTTGTTGTTGTTATTGTCATGATGTGTTATTTTAAATAAGAATAAATATTTTGGATTTTTTTTTAAATAATTGTTTGTTAGCAAATTTGTTGCATTTGGATACTGCTGTGCCAGCATCCCATTGGTATGTGTTGAAATACTGGAGATGATCCTACCCCAGGGCATGTCTATAAAGATAACAACAACTGTGCTAACAAAGCAGCATACTGTTCATACCTATATTCGGTGTTTATTGCAGTGAAGGTAATGGCAAGGGTGCTCCATTTTAAGAGATTATTTTGTTACTGTCTGGGTTAAACTGAAATAGGACGCTGTGCATTTGAAAAAAAAACAACCTCCCTATGGAGATATATACCAGTAATAAAATGAGAACTCCAAATGATTTATTTTGCTTAGAGAGCGTGTGTAGATAATTCTTATTCCTACAAAAATTTCATATGCATTAGAAATAAATAAAATTCAAGGCCTGGTCCTTCTTTCAGAGAATCTATGTCATATCCATTTTGTAATTGGTTGAACATTAGCAAGATTTATGACTTTAAGAAAGGTTCTTCACTGTTTTTAGAGATAAAGTTATACAGAAGATCTTAGGTCCTTCACCTGGCTGCACAGGTATTGCCCATGTAGGTAACCTGCTGCTGCAGCATGGTTTTGATATTTCTATAATTTACTGCCAAGCTTTTACAAGAGTGTGTTTCATTTCTAGTGGTAATGCACCAACTAAGGAACTAAAAATCAGCTTTCTATTAAGAGACATCAATTTAATTTTAATTTTTTAAATGTACTTAAGCTTTCCAGGTATTGAAATTACACCACTTTGTTTTCTTAATACTTTTGAACAAGATCGAGTAGCAGCAACAAAATAGTCCATTTCTATGGAAATCAGTGTAGTTTTCTTTGCCTCTAATCAGACCGGTCTGCTGAAAGCTGAACTGTTTATTTTTAAGCTTTCAGAAGATGAAAGCTTGCCTCGCCTTTCACATCTTTTTCATGTAGCTGTTGTTCTCTGCTTCATTAGGGCTTCTCATCGGAAATGAGAGCTGGGCTGTGGGACAGATCATGCAGTCATAGAATATCCTGAGTTGGAAGGGACACTCATGGATCACGGAGACCACCAACACCATACTTGTCATTAGCTTCAGAAGCAAAGAATGGAATCGAGACACAGGTAACCCAAATGTTGCTCTTAATCTAGGGAACACCAAGGTGTATAGTTCTTCCAGGAGTGCCTGTGCCCTGTATAGAACTGCTTAAAAGAGAGTTCTACCTTTGCAAGTACAGCAGAAACTCTGAGAAACAGGCAGATGCTTGGAGCTGAACCTGCAGAAGCAAAGGAAGCCTGCAGCTTGTGTCATGAGTTACCTGGGTGACCAAAACATCATGGCACGATCAGGTAAAGAAGTCTGCAGAAAGACAAAAAACAGCAGATTTCATCACACATGGGGATTTAAAGCCCTGTTAAAGACCCTGAGGGTTCAGATCTTCTCAGTGGAGTCTCAGTACTGCACTGAGACTCTTTTCACGTAACCAGCATAGGAAGGAACTAATACAGAAAGGAGAATTCAGGTAAAGAGAAGAGCCAGATGGAAGAAACTGACGGAGAATGGTATAAATAAGGGCAGGGCAAGGGAACAGGCAAGTCAGCAGTTCTTCCTTTCCCTGCCTGCTCCTGAGTTTCCTCCTCATTACAGGTGTGTTAACTTGATGGTTATGAGCAAACCTTGGCTAGAATGTCTCAGGGAGGTGGGTGTGGTGTCTTAGCTCCTTGGCAGGACCCGAAGCTGATGGTGTTTGCAGACTGCCTGTGCTCTGAGCTTGTTTCACTGCCAACAAAACATTGGGATTGCTTGTATCACCCCAGTAAAGCTGTGGGTTTTTTTTCTTTCTTGGCATCAATAGAGATTAACTTCTTGATGTATCTGTTTGGCCTTGATGTTGTTGAAAGTGGTGTATCTGACTATAACTGAAAATCTGCTGAAAATTTGCTTTTTTATCTCATGTTTTTGTTGGTCTAGTATTATGAAAAACCATAGCAGGAGGTGAGTATGGCATGGGACCTGATACATGTGGATATCAGCTTAATGACCAGTTCCCTGTAATTACTCTCTAGTTTGCACAGCATTGTTTATTGAGGTTATTTATCTCTGCTGCTGACTCACAGAAGGAAATCAGCTCCTGCTCCCCTTTTAATAGCCATGATGGCCATAGGGAGCAACCAGCAGTAACACTGCTTCTTTGCCAGGAACGTCAGTAGCTGTGGCTCCCATTTCACAGGAAACATGCAGGAAAATATTACTGTCACGTTTTACCTTGAGCTGCTGCCCAGAGTCCATGCCAGGTGGGGAGGGAGAGTTTAGTGCAGTGCTTAACTGCTGCTGTGATGCTTTCATCATGGATTTAAGTTGCTTCAGATGTTGAACTGGGGAGAAAGCATGATGGTGATCAGAATGACCTGATGGGAAGTAATCTTTACTTTACTTTAAACTTTACTTTGTTAGCATTCAGATAAGGTTCTGAGCTTTTTGCTTATTACCTATTGATCTTTGATATTTACCCTGTCTTTTTTTTTTCCCTCTTTGATTGATTTGGTCTGGCTAGACAGGAATTAAATACGTGATTAGTCTTAGGTTAGCCAAAACTGAATAGTTGGGTTAATGAATGACTCACTGACAATACCAATCTCTCAGTTTGCTGATAGTCTCCAGGAACCTCAATAATACAAACCAATATTTCTAACAGGTGTCTGGGGCTGGCAGATGTTTAGGGAGAAGAAGCAGATAAGCGGGACTTGGGAATTTCAGAAAAAGTTAACCTTTTCCCATTCTGGGGCACATAGGCCTTGCCTGAGGCATCATCACTAGCAAAATGAGGCCATTGTAAGATTTATTGGCTCAGTGCAGCATTTATTCAGTGACAGTCACAAAAGGTAATTGTGTGAGCATGTGCAGCCTGGAGTGTTTAATTGCCTCTGCGCCAGGGCTCCAGTACGTATGTGGGATGCGCTTCCCGCGTGTATTAAGCAGAGTCCTTCCCCATGTATAACACTGAGTGCTCGCAAGCCTGCAGCTTCACAGCCACAAAGCAACAGCACGTGCTCAAGGAAGAGCAACAGAGCACTGCTATGCTGCTGCTTTCAGCCCTTCACAAAACCCCTCCTGGGAGCATCTTCTGGCTCTGCACAGCAGCAGCAAAAAACAGGTGCCCTGAAGGTGTGCGTCAACCAAGAGCAGGAAGAAAAATGGGGAGGAGGAAGCAAAGAGGACAAAAGATCTCTGTTATTTCAATCCCAAGTAATTTGAAAAGGAAAAAGGAATCACAGCTCTTTCTATTCACTCTTTCCTGCCTGTTTTCCCTAGAGGGAGTTATCTTTTCTTTCCCAGTTTTCCTCCTTTACAAGCACGCTTTTTTTCTTTTTGGCACTGAGGGAAAAGAAAGTACACGGGAGGAAATGAAGGAGAAAAGGATAAGCACAACCTTAAAAAGCAGTTAATTTCTCTATCGCTGCCTAAAATCAGGAGAGAGTTTTTGAATAGTTTGGTGAGTTTTTTGGTTGCATGGTTTTTCATTTTTGATGTAGAGGTCATTTAAAATAATTTCTGCAGCAAAGACTATCAAGAATCACTTCAGTGTCTTTCAGAGAGTGAGATGGTTTAAAAAAGCAAAAGTGTTTCTCAGTTACACCATTTTGATTTTGTATGTCTTCTTTGTTGCACGTTATAGTACTGAATGCCACTTTTACGGATACCTTCCAAACTTTGTGCTTGGAATTATGTTACCTAATCACACTATTTGGTCTTGAAGGGGGAGTAATGGGGCTGCTTAATCCTTCTGTGGAGCAGCACCTGTTGTGTGGGGTAAGCCAGACCAGTACCTTGCAACCTTGCCCTTCAAGGAAAGAAAATAAACCAAAAAGAAAAGATGGGGTTTTGTTGTGTTTTGGGTTGCCAGGGCTGAGCAGGTTCTGATGGCTGGGAGAGATCATCCAGGGCCATTCCCAAAGGAAAAGCGCAGCTCAGTCAGGAGTCAAGTCAAGGTGGGTTCAAGGTGGAAATGGGAAGTACGGCACTACAGCATACTGATAATCAGGATGGGTCTGGTGTTGCATTGCCTCCTGACAACAGTCTGGTTTAAGAGCTCTGTGTTACTGTAAAACACTGAGCCTTGGTTTTCCTGTGATGTGCAGGATTCATTTCTCGGCCCCTGTGAGATAATGGACTATGTAACTGCTCCTCATCTCTTTGACTAACGGCTCCTTTTTGGCACCCATCCTGGAACTCAAAGCAGTGTAATTTTTAATTCTTCATATCACAACTAATTATTCTATTACAACTAGCTGTAATGTTACAACTAACATTATTCATCTTAGCCTTGGTTGTCATTTCCTTTTTATAAATCCTGCTGCTTCTGCACAGATTAAATTCTGAGACTATTGAGGCTTTGATTATGGTTTAGTCATATTAAATTATCCCTTGGTGATAGGGCTGTCCTGTCAACCACACTGATACCTACAATTAATGGAGAAGATAACTGGTAGTTTGGTGTGAAGCTGTGCCTGGGTGGAAAGGGAAGCTTTGTGGAGCCTGGGGCAATATAGCTTCCCTTGGGCTGGGCATGGGGCAGAAGTTGGTTCATCTCCCACATCGCTGCCATCAAGGTTGGATGGCTGTATGCTGAAGCGCTGAAAGGTACTTAAGGCTGCGTGGGTGACACAGGAAGGGAAAGACTGAGAAGAGTGAACCACGTTGCCATGAGGTATTCTTAGTATTGCATCCTCATTCTTACATGTCTAAAAACACCAGTATGTGAACACGTATGAAAAGCACCAGTATGAGTTTTCTTAATCGTGTCATAGAATCATTAAGATCACTAAGATCACCAAGTCCAACCATCAACCCATCACCAGCATACCACTGGCCATGTCCTTCAGCGCCACATCTCGATGGTTCTTGAAAACCTCCAGAGAGGTGGTCTACCCTATTTAATTATTTCTCTCATGGCTTGTAGATGTTTTGAAAAATGCACATTTTAAAGCTGACAAGTAGGAGATATAGCCACAAACAATACCATGCCCAGCTATAACAGGCTTCCCAGAGAGGCTGTGGATGGCCTATCCTGGAGGTGTTCAAGGCCAGGTTGGATGGGACCCTGAGGAATCTGGTCTAGTATTAAATGGGGAGGTTGGTGGCCCTGCATGTGGCTGGGGGTTGGAGATTTATGGTCCTTGAAGTCCCTTCCAACCCTGGCCATTCTGTGAAAAGCCTTGAGGAGGGGAAATCACTACCTTTGAGCACTTCAGCTCTGGTGTACAGTACTGCTGCCCAACCTTCTGGGTGCCTCTCAGACCACATTCACCAGGGTGTTTGGGTGTCTCTGTGGGTTGTGTGCCACAGAGCCTCCTGTTACTAGCAGGAAGGCTTTAGGATAATTACCAAGTATATTCCACTGTGGTATTGAGCAGTCCCACAGGAGCAGCTCCATGGACAGTTGCCTTTTTGTCAGAGGGCCCCCATAGGTGGGAGGTGCTGTGGAGGGGCTGCTTGCTTTGCGCGTGGTGCAAGATGTTCCTGCCTTATTTATTTCTCACTCCTCTCACTGGAAAAGATGATGAGCTACAATTTTCTTATCCCATAATTATCGATACAGTAGCTGGTAAATGCTTCCTTGTCTTCTCACAGTCTCAAAGGCTACCTTGTTAACAAGGAGGTCTTCAGATATTCGCCACCAGTGTTCCCTTTGTGGGGGAGTGGGGTGATTTTAATTGTTGTTTGATACTGTTCACATGGGCAGACTGCAAGATAACAAGGGAAATGATTGTCTGCTTCACTGATCAGAGGTTGTTATAATCACTTGCCTGTTGCAGTGCATTCAGTTCCTGACAAACCGAAGAGCATTTGCCATTTTGGCTGATGCTATTTTTATCCTTGACACATACCAGTCAGGTATGGTTTTGTTGCATCAAATCGCAAGTGATCTTTGATTTTTATTTTTTTTTTTTAATGTCTCTAGAGGCATATATTTTGAAATGCCAGCAGGAGGCAATATGATTTTCAAGTATTTAGGAATGCCAGTTATGTGATCATTGGTCTGCATTAGAGCTCAGAATGCACTGTGACCTTAGAGGAAGGGAATTTGCCTTCCTTGCCTGTTTCTGATGAAGAGGAAAGCTTG